GCAATTTTTCTCTCCCTTTTTTTTTTTGGAAAATTGGTGTACGTGGTTAATAAAATACACCTCAAACTCATCTCATGTGGCTTCCACATGAAGTAATGACCTTTTCTACTTGAAACCGTCAGAACAGATTAACTTGCTACGAAAATTAGATTTGGGGATGTGTTTGGTAAGAATATTAAAATGGGACCCCAGATTTAATTTTCCCTATTTCCTGACCAAAAACGAGAATTTTGACTGGTTCATAAATAAAGTAGTAAGAAAGCCAAATTGCTTTCACTTGAAGTAATTGTTTACTTGGATAAAAAACCTCTAAATATAAGTATTATTTGCACAGATTTGATGACTTTCCTTCCTAGCTGGTGGCTCTAAAATATGACATATTATCAATATTCAATTTAACGGATGGAAGAACTCACTCACGCATAACTATAATTAGTATATAAGTAATAACTACAACCATTTGACTCGCTCTAAGAAGTCACCATCTTATTCACAACCAAGCTTAATTGTAATGACACTTGCACCGACACCATTTTCTCATCTAAAAAATCCATATACCACCGAAGAACGTAACAACTAAACTAATTAGTGCTTCGTAACAAGTACCTACATTAGATGATCCCAAAATGTTGAAGTTTAAATGGATATTAGAATATGCTCAGTTCTTTAAATTTTGTGAACTGATTACTGCCCTCTTATTTGACCTCTAGTCTATCTAATGATGGATTTCTTGCAAGGAGAGATACTTAACATTTAACCTTGGATCAATTAATTAACATGACGTACTTATAAGGAGAAGTAAACTAGTGATTACTTGCACTGCACTGAGAAATGGTTTTGCTACGTTACCATTAGTACCTGTGAGAATTTTTATTTTTATTTTTTTAACAAGGTGGTGATGGGAGAGGAAGAAAAGTTGCGGTGACAGATGATTGCTTCTGCCTCAGTGATGAATATGAATGTAGAGAGGTCCAGCAGTTTTCACAACTGAGATTAACTACATTCAAATGAGTCATTACCTCTACCAGTTACTAGATTGAATTTTAATGGTGATGAAATGGCCAGGTAGGATAGATGAATTGATGGTTTGTTTTAAGGTGCAGAATTTTGGAATTTTGGAATTGGCCTTGGGCTTCTCTATACTTGCTGGACTTCAAAAGCCTGTCTACAGTTTAGCAAGAAAAATTCGGTCTCCACACTTCCCATTTACCTATAAATTTTCGAAACAAATGGAACTTGTGAGAAAGCAGATTGGGGCATTGTGTATTTCTATCTGAATAAGGTGAAAGAAAAGTAGCTTTTCTTGAACTTAGTAGGGTACGGTTATAGCATTTGCCATCAATGCTCTACACAGGGGCTCACTCTGATTCCCAACTTGTTGAGTTCGAGATGACTGGTGCTGTGTGCCTGCTTCTTATTATTGTGCTTGTAGCTGAATGTCTGAAAAGTTGCATATTAATTTACATCTTCTGCAAGTTTTTCCAGGAAAAGTTGGCATCAGTGGAAGAGCTTCAACCATTCATCAACCATGCATCCCAAATGGCTGCACTCGACTATATTGTGTCAGTTGAAAGTGATATATTCATTCCTACATACTCTGGGAACATGGCAAGGGCAGTGGAAGGTCATCGTCGTTTTTTGGGGCATAGAAAAACCATTTTGCCCGATAGGTAATGTATTTTCCCATATCGTTTTCTATAAGATTTTCATCTTTCTACAATTTCTGTTACATTCATGTACTCTGTAACGCCAATTTCGCATTGTTATAATTGCTCATTTTTTGGAAGTTTCCTTGTTCATTAGGAAAGCCCTTGTCCGTCTTTTTGATAAAGTTGATAGGGGAACAATGAAAGGAGGCAGAAATCTCTCAAACCGAGTTATTGAAATCCATAAACGAAGGTATACCAATTTGAAAATCTCTCATTACTTGTATATGGGTATATTTTGCAACTCTCCTGTAGTTGGCATGCTGGGATACTAGTCAAGCTCTGATATGCTTTTATCTGTCTATTTGTTTATTTACTCTGTAAAAGTTTATTATCTTGCATGTAGCATACTTTGTTAATTGAGGTTATATTTGGAAGAATTTTACCCAGCAAAGAGACTTCAACTCAATGCTTTCTTCTTGTGCTTTAATGTTGGTGCTCAGGCAAGGATCGCCAAGGAAGAGAAAAGGCCCTATTTCAGGAACAAAGGGAATGGATAGGTTTCGTTCAGAAGAGGCATTTTATGTTAATCCTTTACCAGATTGTTTATGTCGGAAGGAATCTCCATATATGAACACTTCTCTCATTACCAACTAGATCAAAACTTACACAAAGTGGCGGGTTGCTTGAGGAGCTGGCATCATCATAAATAGGTTTATGGGTTGTGAAATGTGCATAGATTTAATCGGTGCAACTGTTGAAGGTATGGACCACAAGACGAGACATCTAATTTGTTTGGTACAGATTTGAAGAATACAGAATAGAGAATTCATTTGAGCAGTAGCACTATTTCATTTCTAGGATAACCAGGTTTTCGAGTGCAACCATCCCTCCTTGTTGAACATTCACCTGATAGAATGAGGAGATTCAAATTCTGGCCATATAAAATGGCAAAATGTAGCTAGCTAGCTATATGTAGTTGGTGCCTGTATGAAATGTAGTTTATAGTTCTTTTCTGACATTAGGCCTACTTTGACATTGAAAACTGACTCGTGAATTGGATAGTAGTAATAAGCAATTTTTTTTCTCCATTGTTACATACAATGGGGGCTTAATCTGAGAAATTTCATGATTTATTACATTGATTACCTCAATTGCAGTACTAAACAAAACTAAATAATGAGCTCGACATGCAAAACTGTATGGAACATGACCTCGTCAAGGCAGCAGTTGCTAGTGCTCCATGGTTTGAAAGTTTAATTATTCTCCAATTATTGTTGGAGTCTTATTCAAATTTCTTCATTCTTCTTGTAATGCACTTGTAAGAATTATCTCCCAAATAAGATGGGGACTATTTATGAATATGTAGCCATAGGCATTCCTTGCACGTCAATAGTTCGAGGAAAATATGGTTATGCATTAGAATTAAATTTACAAGTTCCAAGATGTTAACATACAAGGCTAAACAAAATTTTTCAATTATGGTATGATGACATTGTCATTTTCTCGAAATATATAAAACGTTAAAAACTCAAAAGCAACACCCTCCACGAGAACCATATGTCGTGGTCCCCAAAGTCGAGGGTTTTTCGTAAGGGATTAATTTTACTATTGATTTAGTTTGACGTACATTTTTTAATTGAAAATGCTATCTATTCGTGTGCCAAGATTGATTATTAGAATTTTAGTTAAATCTTACAACTTAGTCCTTGAGATGTCCAGTCTTAAAATAAACATAATAATGGATCAATTTCTAGTCGCATAGCTT